GACAAGATACTTTTATGCCTGAAGTTATCCGGTTATTATTTTTGTCCTATTATTTGTTACTATTTGTAATGGGAAGCTGGCATAGAAAACTCTCAAAAAAGTGTTCAGAAATGAATTATACCCAGTATCAACATCATCACTGTTAAATGTCTCGTCCCATGTCTAATAACTTAAATTCATTTTGAAATTTAACAGCGTATGATTATTGATATTCCTTCTAGTTATAATTTTCTGTTTATGGTGACGCATACCGGTATTCTTAATAATTAACTGTTGAGGGTCTTGATCCGATAAACCATTAAATATAGGATAGACCGAGTGATTCTTATATTGCGATGGATCAATAAAGATATTATCAATCAGCGACTTCGTACTATTATAACTTCTAGTTGGGAAGTCTACGATAGGAACAAGACTGTGTGATGACATGATAACGTCAAGTTGTTTTTTCTTTATGAGATTCCTTTAGGTAATTAATATTGATGTCACCACACACAATAATTTTCGCATTATGGTTTAATAAAGATTTTAATGCTATATCTATGTTGTAAGTTTTGAGGTTTTCACGGCGATGACAATGAAGAAACAGGGTTCAGTCTCAACAAGTCATGGAAGCCACTCATCTCTTGCCTCAAGAGAAATACAAGCCACTCCAATTCTTCGCCATGTCATTGACGTCAGTAGCCTGTCCCCCGGTATCATGTCATTGACGTCAGTAGCCTGTCCCCAACCAACTAGTTCTTCTTGCCTACCGCACTTCTTAGTGCTATTGACCTCAAGTTTCTGGATTTACTGGCCGTCCCCCTCCCCCCCTACTTAGTACACATCATATGGCCTTTATCGCTCTCAACAATCTCGACAGACGTGAAACATCCTTTCCCTCAAGAGAATCCTACAAGCCACACCAGTTCTTCGTCATGTCATTGACGTCAATAGCCTGTCCTCAACCTACCGGTTTTGACTACCGCACTTCCTAGTGCTATTGACCTCAAGTTTCCTGTACTCACTGACCGTTCCCCCTCGCCCTTAGTCACACACCATATATGGCCTTAATCGCTCTCCACTGCTCCCATTGGTCCGTTCTCCTATATCTATGTTGTTTAAAAACTGAATAAAATTTCCGGATTTAGCCCTATATACAACTATTATATAGGTTGATAGTATTTTTATTGCACATAATTCAATATCTCGTTTTACACAAAATTTGTCGAAGTTAACACAGGAATAGTTAATAGAATTGTGAACAAAAATCCCAACTCAACCCTTTCTAAATTTTTTCCTGCAATACATAGTACCCATTTTGTAATGGTCAATATTACTGTACTGCCGTAAGTGGTGGGGGGGCTATGTAAATTCGTTAAACACTCAAACAACTGCCACTTTGGCTCGAGTCAGCTGTTCTCCTGAGAAGCTCAAGGGGTTGCAAGAAACTCTAAGGGAAGGTGTGTGCAAGTGAGGGATGAGAGGTCCATTGACGTTACATCACATTTCTCTCTATTTTATTCTATTCTTCTAACTCTATCTACATATATACATACAATTACTGCCGACGTCTGTCGGTTTACATTACGCTTAAATTTTTAATGCTCCATTACGGCGTAGTTACACTCAATTCACCCGCTTCCGAGTTCCTATACCTCTCTCTTTCTTTCCTTCCTAAGCCTGGTCCATCTAGTATTTATTCCTAGCTCCCTGGGGTTCACACTTTAATAATATTGTCACGTGTTGGGTATATAACGCGACAAATAACTTCACATCGTATTGTATATAGCGAATTTTATTTCACATTCGCTCTTACAATCACACAATTTACAAATTCACAATTACTGCCATCTGCAGTGTCACAAATATTAGACGGCAAATGCCAGAATAAAACTGAAAAATTGACTGCCTGGCTAACTCGTAATTCGTAACTCGAAAACTTGAGAACTCGTAACTAACTGCTTGATAACTCGGAACAAGCTGTGAATAGCTTTCGCTGTTCCTTATTTAGCCCCGTTCCGGACAATACAGAAAACAGCCACGTAGTAGGCACCACGGTTGCCTGGCGCCGTGTTGCTAGCAACGCTGTCGGAAGTTGTTTACTGCTGTGTAGCAACTGCGGGGTCCCGTGTTACGTCACCGCTGTTGACTCGCGTTGCATAGCGACCAGTATGCTGGGACTCGGCTAACTTCGGCTCCGCTCGGCGCGTCACGGCTGTAAGGGGGGAGAGGCGTCATCCATAGCGCAACACGTCACAATATCATACTTATAGTTCATGGCTATCGGAGTAGTTTCCACTTACTTGTTATGAACATTCTGGCGTACACGACCAACCAACACCCTCTCTGCGTCATCTCGGAGATAGCCTTCGGCCACACTCTATAACGATAGTAAGCCCCAAAATAATTCCTTCCTTGTGCTTTTATATTCCTCTTTTGCTATCTCACCGACTTCCTGGTAGGGTACACCTCCGCCGATTATGACGCCATTTTGTTGGGTGACTAACTCTCATTGGCTGCCTTTCGAAAGAGGGTTTGGGTTCCCTAGTCTACCGCCCTTTTCAACTCAGCGATTTCTTTATTGTTCCAGTGCCTTTCTGTTCCACGTTCGTCTAAGGCTTTCTTATCGTCAGCAATATTAAGCTGACACTGTAACTTTCTGATTAGCGTCCTCTTGCCTAACTGGTCTAACTTATATTTCTTTGCAAATCCTACTTCCTTGTACAGTTAATTATTCTATTTCTTAACCTTAACTTCTAAAAATTCTTATTCTTAATTAATATAAAAATGCATCCACTTGTACATAAATTTTGCGGCACAACAATTACAATTTTCGATCTCAAGAGAATTCAGATGATATTCTGTTAAGCAGATAACATGTGGGCAATCAGGATATAATGCACTTCTTAACTCACAGATTTTATTACTCAATCCTCTAGTGTTCTGATGAAAAATGCTAAAGTCAGAGGTGTTATCACACAGACAGGAATGATGTTAAGGTGACCACCTTTCACAGGTGGATTACACTCTTTATAAATGTTGAGATTTGTAGAAATGTTGAATTGAATTCCTATTGTCCGTAGGTGAATTTGACATAAAAACGTCATTCCTAATTACTGGTGGCCTCTCTTGTCTAGTAGAGGTTCTACATGGATCTCTCTTATCAATTAGCTGTTAGCAGCCGTAACCTAGCTACGTCCAGTGAGGACTAAAACAAACTGAGAAGAGTTAGTATGTACCGTGGTTATTTGTATTGTATGTAAATTAGTGTTAGAGATGTTTTAGGTTCATCAATTACCAATCTAAATCCCGTGCCTAGTCACCAACACACGAGATTGTTAATAGTATTTTCTTTCTTTAAAATCTCCTATATTTAAAATGGTCATTTAATATTACAAGTCCAGATATGTGTGTATGTATATATATATATGCTGTACTGCTGTAACAGGAGGGCTAAGGAAACCACTAATTACTTCCTCCATCGTTGCTTCATTGGCTAGGGGCACACTGTTCACAGGGCTTGTCAGGAGGGCGCAGGTGCGTAATGTGGTAAGGGAGGAAATCACAACAAAAACCCACATCCTCCCCCTATGCTACCCTATATTAGTATAAACNGTGTGTGTGTGTGTGTGTAAAGATCTTTACACATCCTTGCAGCTAGACACCCCCTCTGCAGCCTCTATATTACACATGTCTACCTATGCATCACTCCGTTGAGTCACTCTTACTCCCTGTACACTTTTCGTAACCTTCCTACTCATGTCCCATTGTGGGAGTTACACTTCAGTAATAAAACTACATTTGTTAAGCATGGCAATAAGTGTAGTTCCACTTTCTTTGCGTTGAGACTGCAGACGGATGGCGTGGCCCGGCACTTAGTCGGTGCTTCTTCCAGCATGACCTCCGGCGAAAACTGCGCCAAATTACTGTTTGAATAATCCCGATACTAATTTACTCCCCTGGTTATATACCTTTATTTTAGCTAACTCATTAATTTCCCGGAGGGTGCAAGTCCGCCAATAATGACGTATTGTCCCAAGTGTCTGGTTCTCTTTGGCTGGGATCCTTAGGGGTGGACACGCCCCCTTACGGCTATCCCACTTGGCTAAGCCTTTTTACCTCCAAACATTCCCCCAGCTCTCAAGTGTAGATTTTGTAGCGTTAGCATTTCGATATACATTCAACGTCATTATGCTGACAGGACATCGCGTCACAAGCCAATGTCCGTCTAACTCCATACGCAGAAATTCTTTGAGGTTCCTTAATCCTTCTTACATCCTCTTTCGTACGTCTTACAAGTATTTCCCAAAACTAATTCTACTCTAGCCAACATTTCCCCCTAAAATAAAAAAAAAAACTAAATACTCTTTTTAACATGTTACCGGGAGTCGACCTTCAGGGCACAACATATGCTTTAATTCTCATTCTCTTCAGAAACATTTTATATATGTTGTAAATCCTTACCAAGTCACTTCGCTCTTGCACACGTCATGCTGTGAATTGATTTCACCGCCGGCCTAACAGATTGGAATCTCTTCCTTTGCTACTTCATACAAGTTCAGTTCTACCTACAAAATATTTTATTCCCCAACTCAAGTTCCCAAAGAATGAGCGTAAAATTTTGCGTCTTTTTCCATGTGTGATTCATAACCCACAGATGAACATCCCCTTTCACCAGTGAGACTGTCAGTAGATGAATGTTCACTGATTATACTAGAATTCTAGGATTCAACACAAAGTATCCACAGTTATTAGCATACATAATTTGATATTAAATATGGGTTACAATTGGCCTTGACATAGCTCAGGTGGTTATTCGGCTCACCCACTGCGGCCCACTGGCTTCCATCCCAGACGTCTTGTCACATGTGAAGGGCAAAGTGGCACTGAGGTGAGCTGAGCTTGCCTTGCATTTCTAAAAGGAACAAATTGATAATAAGGTAACAAACAAGTCATATATTCGGAGTGTGAATGTGCATCTATGTAACATACTCATGTCGTTTTATTTTCTTTTTCAGTTATGGTATTTCTACGGAATGTGATCAAGGTAAGTTTCAGAGAAGCAACAATTTATGCGTAACCTGCAGTTAGCCTGTAAACTGCTGCTAAACAAGCAGTTATAGTTACATCGAAATGATGGATTGAAATGTTTTCTGAGAGAGAGAGATTGAGAGAGATTCATTCAGATTTCCTCAACAAGATTCTGAATATATATAACTGCCATATATTCAGAGAGGTAATTTTCAGAAACTCGATTACGTAATCAGTAGGCCAGTTGAAATTAGAATTAAAGCTCATATGACTCTTGTGCTGATGTGTGTTTCAGGAAAGATGTGGTCCTCTGTGTGTGGCGGTCGCTGTGGCCATTGCGGCTATATATTTCCTTCACTGTTTAATGGTAAGTTTCCTGACAGCTGATTCTTCACTTATCAAGCATCACTGTCTCTAGGCAATGGGTCGAATTAAAACAAACTTTCTGATATTTGTTGCAGGAAGGATACATCAGTCACACAACTCTCCATTTTTTGATCATATTTTTCCTAGCTGTACTAACGGTAAGTTTCTTGACAGCTAACTCTTCATTTACAAATCACCACTATCTCTAGGCAATGGGTCGAATTAAAACAAACTTTCTGATATTTGTTGCAGGAAGGATACATCAGTCACACAACTCTCCATTTTTTGATCATATTTTTCCTAGCTGTACTAACGGTAAGTTTCTTGACAGCTAACTCTTCATTTACAAATCACCACTATCTCTAGGCAATGGGCCAAACATTTCTGTTTAGTTCCTGGAAAGGAGAGGGATTATTCTATTATCCACACTGTGAAGTCCGTCAATGAGGACAACCCAGCCTCGTGAACGGTCCATACTAATGATTCCTCGAAGGGGTGTGAGGTCAGGGATCATTCTATTTACCACACTGTGAAGACCGGCCATGATGATCACTTATCCTCCTGTCCAGTCCGTACTGGTGATTCCTCGAACTGGTGTGAGGTCAGGGGTTATTCTATTATCCACACCGCGAATACCGGCCATGATGACCACTTATCCTCCTGTCCAGTCCGTACTGGTAGTTCCTCGAACTGGTGTGAGATCAGGGATTATTCTATTGTCCACACCGTGAAGTCCGTCCATGAGGGCCAACCATCCTCCTGTCAGGTCCGTACTGGTGGTTCATAATAATGATGTTAGGCGGCCCCTGGACACGCACTTCCATTCATTTTATTTACTTTTTTGTTGTCCCTTACTGCAGATGTCAGCAACTCAGACTGTATAGCACAAAACGGTAACACGATTAGAGAATCATGAATTTCAGAGCAAGCTAAAGGAAACTGCCGTGCACTGATAGCCCAAATAGTAATATAATTAGTGGCTCACGAATTTGACAGCAAGCGAAAGGAAGCTACTGTGGACTGATAGCTCTAAATGGTAACAAGATCATTGAAGCATGAATTTGACAGGAAGTGAAAGGAAGCTGCCGTGGACTGATTTTGTGTCTTATTCCGTCGTTTTCTTGAACTTTGGCAGCAAAGCCAGAAATTCCTCTGTCAGTATAGTCAATGTCCCGGCAAAAATTTAAACCGGACACGTCACAGTAAAAGTCAGAAGTGATGTAGCTTTGTAACAGAACAAACTGAGTTCTAGACTCGTGTTCTCGGAAGTGTTGGGTTTGAATCCCAACTGGGATAGTAGCTGTCTGACTCATATTGCTCAGACCATCAATGAAAATTCCGGGATGGTAGCTCAGATGTAACTGTCTCCTTCCAAATCCTCTGCAGTTCGTCATTCACCTATTAAATAACTTTGGACAGTATGCAGTTTGCAATAATGGAAGAGTCGTGGAGTGATCTGCAAAAGTTACCGCTGGCCGCAGTACATATAAATTGGTGACTGAGCATGAGGTTTGTAAAAGTTTCGGGGAAATCCCCAGTCAGAGGAAGGTAGTGAACATCTTGAAAATTAAGTGCACACATCGTACAAGATATCTGTGCACAGTTGATTTAAATTTAAGTTAAGGAATACAAGGGAGGAAATGTAAACTAAGAAAAAGTTCTGGGAAGAACTAATCGCCTAATTTCTTTTGATAGAAAATGATGCATCAGTAAATTCTTACATGGTTAGGCGTGTACTCCTTGTTGCGTGAATGTATTTATCAAGCCGTTGCTTAGCAACGATGAGGATGGATACATATAAACATATTCTGAAAGGTGGCTCACAACACAGGAGCTTGGAGGCCGTGTATTCGCTGTTCAGGCGACATGTCACATATATGCTTAGGTTATTGTTGAATATACTGGTATATCAACTAATCTCGAAAGTCTCATTTAGAAAGAAGGAAATAGGCTACGAAAGCTTTGCGACCATTGAACTAAGCTTGCACTTGTGTACCATGCAACTATTTCCTTTTTAGTGAAAATACCTATTCCAGAATCATAAATGTTCAGACTGTTACCTAAGTCTTAAATAGTGTTGTTCTCAGGATTCATAAATGGTGACTTTAGAATTTCCCCTGAATCTGTGTGCTGCGTTCGTTAACTATGTACCCTCTTTAGAGCAGAAAATTGCCATTCGAGAGAATCACCCATTGCTGGAATGGTTAAAAACAAATACGAGTAACTTTGAGACTTCTAGCAAATTTGTACTCCAATTTGAACAGACCCCACATACTACAACATAAATATTCTTCAGATCAATTAATGAAAGAGGGCTGAGTTTTCAGATGATAAAATTTAAACAACTTCTCTATGATTTCAACGACTAATAAGCAATAGCTAGAAAAGTTACATAACGGTATTTAAAATTTCAGAAGTACGTGACTGAGGGAACTTTACATTGAGTATTTTGAAGAATTACTTTGTAACTGTCCCTTCATAGGTTCAACTAATTCACATCACAGTGTCTCGATTGTCATTCGCAGTCTCTTCGTCGAAAAATTTAGAGTTCCTTATCTCCTTATGAGCATCTTTCACTTTCGGACCAGACCTCCTTAAATAGTTGCAATCCTTCAAAAAATTATAAAATTTTTCACTTTTTCGAACAGTAACAGACACTTTTACTTTTATTTAAATAATTTCAAAAGGCTCTTTGGCTTGCAGTAGTATTTCAGAAAATATTGCAAAAAGAAATTAAAGAAAGCCTTGAGGAATGTGATGAAATCCTGGAGCAGAAATACAAGTTTTCCGTTTCTAAGGAACTTGTTTCCGTCGCTTTGGAGCTATTCAAGCACCAAGCAAATCAATTGTGTTAACACTTTTCTTCTTGCTAATATTTCAAATCAAGTGCACGTTTTATTCTTCCCTTCCGAACTGCGCATGTTTTCTGAAACATACAGCGTTGTTTTCAATGATTTGGTTAGCAAACCTATATCCATAATAAATTTATATTTTATTTAAGCAACCTGTTGCTCCAATATAGTGCTTATTTTATATAATGTACATTTCCGTCACTAATACAACACCTTTAATTCTCCATTCATGACGATATTTTCGCCATGCATGGCCATCATGTTCGCTATGCTAAAACTGTTGCACTGCACAGTCTGCCACAACCTAAAATTAAAATTGCCACTAGAATTCAAATTATAATAGGTCATCCTATTGAATATATTAAAGACGTTGTTTCCAGTCTTCTTGTGGGACCTATTAGCGCAGTCTTCAGTGGCGTGGATATATTTGAGCCTTGTGTAGTTCATGGATGTTGTGTGAATGTTCATTTCTCTTATATGTCCCTTCGGTTTCTTGTCTTCGGTCTAAAAACATAAAAATTAGAATACAAGAAACTATAATTTTTCTGTGGTTTTTATGGGTGGGAAACTCGGTCATAGAGTCATAGAACATAGAGTCAGGGTGTTTGAGAACAAGGTGCTGAAGAGAATATTTGGACGGAAGAGAGATGAAGTGACAAGCGGCAGGTGAAAACTGCATAATGAGGAGTTCCATAACTGTACTCTTCAACAAATATAATTACAATGATCAGGTCAAGGAGGATGACATGGCCAGGGCATGTAGTACAAATGGGAGAGAAGAGAATTCATATAGGATATTGGTATGAGAGCCACAACCTTGCATGTACTTGGTATTGGTTCTGTTAACTATTGATATTTTAGTTTTACCATGAAGTGATCGGAGTTACATTCGACACCTCTATAGGATCGCACATCGATAAGGCTCCTTGCTTATCTTGCATCTATCATAACATGGTCAATTTAATTTCTTGTCCAACCATTGAAGATATCCATTTTTTCTTACGGAAAAGTCTTAGGTAAAAATGTACTACTTTTAAGCAAGTTTCCGGTGACTGGAAATCGGCCATCATTACTCTGTTGTTATTACATTTATCATGAAGGTTATGGTGTCCCACGTGTTGTACGTACTACAGGATCTTTTCCTGTCTTCGTCTATGCACCCCCCATCATAAATTGGACGCCATGTCTTACTGATGTTGCCCTTCATATGGAGATGGCATAAAGACTCATCTACTGACAATTATTGGGTTTTGGACTTTGTCCATCTTCCAGTATTCTAGTAACTAGAAAACACCTTCATTCCAGCAATTCCTCCATCATCATAATCACCTGGGGGAGGTACAATAGGCCAATCAGTGGCGGCAGTGCCGAGGAGACTCAATTAGGACTCCATCCCCACACTTACTTACTTACTTACTTACTCATGGAGCTGAGTCCTTCTGGAGGAGCCCCCAATTCTGCAGCTACTCAAGAATTTCCCAGCATTCTATGGAACCCGAAGGCTCATTACCATCTTCACAAGAGCCCTCCACTGGTCCCTATCCTGAGCCAGATCTACCCAATCCACACCATCCCATCCTATCCCTCTAAAATCCATTTTAATATTGTCCACCCACCTACGCCTTGGTCTTCCCTGTGGTCTTTTTCCTTCTGGCTTTCCCACCAATATCCTATACGCATTCCTCGCCTCCCCACACGTGCTACATGCCCTGCCAACCTCGTCCTCCTTGACTTGATCATTCTAATTATACTTGGAGAAGAGTACAATTTATGAAGCTCCTCATTATGCAGTCTTCTCCAACCTCCTGTCACTTCATCCCTTTTTGGTCCAAATATTCTGAACACCCTGTTTTCAAACACCCTCAGTCCATGTTCCTCCCTTATTGTCAGAGACCAAGTTTCACACCCATACAGGACTACAGGCAAAATTATAGTTTTGTATATTCTAATTTTTATGTTTTTGACAACAGACGAGAAGACAAAAGGTACTGGACTGAATGGTAGCAGGCATTACCCCGAGTTCAATCGCCTCTTAATTTCCTCCTGAATCAGGTTTCAATCTGTTATCGTTGTTCCCACACTAGGTGGATTAAAAAATTAATTAACTAGAAACATAACTTTTCGGAAACCAGACGTGTTTCCGTCCTCAGGTGGGGAAGGACACCTCTGTTTGGTCCCTTACATAATTTCTTTTCATATATTGTTTCAGATCAAAATTGGAAGTAGACATACCACCGTACTGGAAATTTTGCTTAGATGTGTTCACAGTAAGTAACATACATTCTGTAACTCGTAATCACAAATGATTATAATAGTCCCTGGTTTTATGAAAACCATCAGTTATTTAAATAGATTATTGAAGTGGAAAATATTAAACTACTTGTAAAATAGTTAACCAGAATCGACGACGAAACTATTCAATCGCATTATAAGAGAGGCCTTTTAACTTCATTGGTGGAATTAGCAAAATGTTGTCTGGGTCTTTGGATAGTGAACACACAACATATTACACAGTCAAAATTTCGGATTTAGAAATGGAAGAGGCTGATTTCTTAACTTTCCAAAGAACAGGTAACAGTCGTAAAATCGACTTTAAGATGTATACGACATTACAAGACGTATTTGAAAAGAGGAATGTACGATCGTATGAGTTGGCGAATAATAAACACGGTGATAAGATAAAATATATACATCCTCACCCATGCTGCTTGTTGTAAATGAGCATTCGGCGCAACTAGACAGAGCTTCGGGCATACTCTAGCCACATGTTATTGCACAAGCTCAAATCATGAATCAGATAAAATTAAATCAAGCTGACTTCCCCACTGACTTGACATTTGTCTTCCTCTAACATATCATTTGATTTCAATGTGTACCATGTTTTGCCCTTACCAATTAAGATAAAAAATACCGAGTTAAAACTTGCATGTATATTGTCAGAAAGTCAGTATTTGTTAATAGATATAGCTAAGCAGTATTACTCTAGGTTAAGTGTAGACGAATTTAAGGAATGTAAGCTGACAACAGACATCGGCCGTGCAAAGAAAATTACCCTGTGCATGTAAAGCATTTAGACAAAGAACATGGAGCCTAACTGCTTCAGTCCATTGGAAGCATACCTAGCAGTTGTACTCAGAATATAACAGGACTGAATCAAACGCTGTGGACCCAGCTGGGTAATAATGAATGGTTAGGTGCTGCTCCACAAGTGCGTACACTCGAAGTGTGTTCGGCGCAGGAACAAATTGACATTACGGTGACAAGTCAGGAATTAGGTTGTAAGTGTATATCTGTGTAGCATACTGAGGTCATTTTATTCTCTTCTCAGATTTAATGAAACAACTAGATCCAAAGATTGTCAAAATGAAATATTTGATTGTATATCTGTGTAGCATACTGAGGTCGTTTTATTCTTTCTTTTTTAGGAATCACAAGTGAGATCATGGAAACATCTAAGAAAATTCATGAGGACTGGGTAAGTTTCAGAAAAGCAGTAAGGAATTACCGTTCCTTTGCATGACATTATATTTTTAATTAAATGGTGTATTGAAATGTTTTCTAAGAGAGAGAGAGAGAGAGATTCACTCAAATTTCCTGAACAGGATTAGGTAAATAATGAATCGCCATATATTCTTAGAGGTAAATTTCATGATCTCAGTCAGTAGGCAAGTTTCAATTAGGATTAAATCTCATGTGGCTCCTGTACTGATGTGTTGCAGGGTATCGTTGGCGTTTATGTGTTCCTTGTGATTTTGACGTGGCTCAAAGACGTCATCCTTGTAAGTATCATGACAGTTGACTCGTCACTTACCAAGCATTACTGTCTCTAGGCAATTGGTCAAATTAAAGAAAAATGTAGTTCAGTCTGCCAGGTCAAGTCTCCCTGCGGGGAGATTTCACTTTCTCACCCAGACTCTTTAAATAGTTGAAGTTTATCAACAAGGAAAGGGCAGTGATAGCGTATTCGATATAGCGACTTTATACAGGCCGGATGACCTAGGGGTCAGAGTTAAAATTCTGGTAGGGTCTTTCCTCAACAGCATCCAGACCGGCTGCGGGGCCCACCCAACCTACAATCCAATGGGTACCTGGGGCTCTTACCCCAGGAGTAAAACGGCCGGGGTGTAAAGCTAATCACTCACCTCCAACTAATGCCGAGGTCAAGAATACCTGGGTCTATACATCCACTCCCCATACGTCTTCATGGCGTAGTGTTTAATTTCTTAAGCACATGGACAACTTTACTTTACCTTACGCTCCTAGGAGGAGCCTTTTGTATAACATATCCTGCACTGTTGAACGTGGAATTTGTAACTGCAAGCTAGCAGCAAGAATTGATTTGCACGGACTTCGCTGAAATGTCACTTTAATGCGATTGACATTTTCTTCAGAGGTCCGTGTCTTTCTAGGAGATTTTACTCGCAACAGACTACCTGTAGTCTTCAGTTTTTGTACCAGAACCGAATGCTTTTCTGTGTAGGATGTTGATGTCCTTATTGTGTTCTGAAACAACGCTGGACAGCTGTGAGAAATTGCAACTCTGGTAGCCACAACAAGAATTGAACCTGTACCTGTGGTGTCGATATTGCTACCGATTAATACAGAGGTCGCGGAAGGTAATCAGGTGGCGCATGCGCGCAAGCTGGTCATGAGTTATTTATTCCGTTGACATAAACCGGATACATATATGAAAATTAGTTTCCGAGATATACATTTTTATTTTGGATACATTTGAACCGGACTCCCTGGACAAGGGGCCAGCCCGCCGCAAGGCCACCACCCACACACAGACAACCATACCCCGAGCGGTACCAGAACCCACGATCCCAGCACTCGAGCGGGTGAAGACGGCCCACGCCCCGGACCGCTCGACCACCGTGATCGGTAAATGAGGAACTGGTGCTCAATAATAATTCAGTTAAATTCTTATTTATTTGCGTGCCAACCCAACAGCCCAAGGACCAGTTACACAGTGAGCACGAGCGAAAGAAACAAACAAACATATACAAAGCACAAATCAAAGTAAAGTAATAATAATAAGCTATTAAAAATAAAATTATCTCTGAAATATTAAGAAATATTTATTTACTGTGAAATGCGATAGGAGAAACCAAAATTTAAGAAAACGGGAGTAAGTAAACTATGACAAGGCAACATAAAATTAAATTAAATTATATACAAGGTATGTCCCAAAAGTTATGAAATATATATATTAAATTTATTGATGATATCGGTACAAAGTGTTAATATTCCTCAAAGTACGGTCCATGAGCATCTACACATTTTTTCCACCGACTCTCCCATGCCCGGTACGTCCCCTCAAAGGCCTCGACGGGAACCTCATTTAAAGCTGTTGTCACGGCCGCTTGGATAGCCTGAATGCTTTCAAAATGGCGTCCTTTGAGTGCATTCTCAATGAGGTTCAATTTCCACACGTTCCTTCAATTCACTCGCGATCAACACTCGATTGGCCTTTTGCTCGGCCGTCAACAATCTGGGGAACAGCTTGGCGCACACCTTTCGCATGTTCAATTCGTCCATAAAGATGCGATGCACAACGGTTTTTAGAATGTTCAGAGTGTCGGCTAACAACCGGACAGTCATTTGACGTTCAGTATTCAACAAATCACGCACATGAGTCACATTGTCATCGGTTTGGCTTCTTGATGGCCGTCCAGAGCAGGGGTCATCTTCCACTCCTTCCTGGCCCTCCTTAAACATCTTCACCCACCTTGTAACTTGCACATATGATAGAGAAGACTCCCCGTAGGCTTGCTTAAACAGTTCGTGTGTTTCGGCAGCTTTTTTTGTTGAGCTTTGTGCAGAACTTGACCGCCCAACGTTGTTCGAAAGTATCCGCCATCGCGCGCTGTGACGCGGTCACAAAACACAGATGCACTAAATCAGCGATGCTGACGCCTCCGATGCTCAAACAGACTGACTTTTGGCTCGCTGTGAAGCTAAAGATCTGCCCCCCTAACCCAACCAGTTCCAGCGCCCTCCGACCAATAGGAGCGCGGGAAAGAAATATATTTCATGACTTTTGGGACACACCTTGTACTCTCGCGGTAGCGTAGTTAGTTGAGGCACTATGCTACAAGTGGGAAGGTTGTGGGAAGGTCCCGATGATGTCATTGGATTTTTTCAATTGACCTAATCCTTCCAACTGCACTACGGGCCTCGGGTTGACTCAGCCTCTAACAGAAATGAGTACCAGGAATTTTCCTGGGGGGTAAAGTGCCGCCGGCGCGTAAGGCTGACAACCTTGCCGCCATCTTTGAGCCGATTGTCTAGATAATGTGGGACCCTCATCGTCTCACAACACTATTGCCTTCACGGCCGGTTATAGGGCTAGTTTAATCATTTTACTCTTTAAATGAGCCCAGAATAGACGTAATTGGTAGCTTATATTGAAGACTGCATACCGCAACGAACTAGTCCGACCTAAAATTCGAATCCCTGATGAGTTCACTGGATTCCTCAACTGACCCAATCCCTCCAGCTGCGCCCGGGGCCTGTGGTTTAACCCAACCTCCAACTTAAACGAGCACCAGGAATCCCTTTGGGCGCAAAGGCGGCCGGTGCGTAATGCTCAAAACCCCCACCGCCATCCGTGAGCCAGCCGTGCAGAAAATGTGGGAGCCTCGACGTTTTATCACCCTATGAGCCACCACGGTCGGCCACATGGACAACTTCAAGCTTTATTTACATTTATGTCAAGTGTCTGTTAATGTTTTGTCAACTTGTCCGGTTAATTAGTGTAATGTGTCAATGTCTCTCCCACATTTAATTACATGAGACACACATAATGACATTCAATTAGCTTTGAGACACCACATTTATGGACGAAATATAAGAATATCTTTAGGTATTGATCTCACTGTGCAGTTTTTTTTTATTTCTCTGCGAATTTACAATCTACTCACTACATTAAGGAGCAATAAGTAACCAGCGTCGATGCTCTTAAACACAATTGATGCTAGAATTTATTGCTTAGCCTAATTTTGTCTTTTCGGAAGGTCGGATGGCGACTGTCTCTTCAGTCTCCGTACAACATTGGGAGGGTTTCTTATTTCTTCATTTAATCCTTGTAGTCGTTGTTTGTAGAGTAGAGCTAATCTTCGTATCTCGTCTGTTACATATGTGACTTGCAGGTCGTTGTGGAGCGTTAGATTGGAGACGTACCAGGGTGCGTTGGTGACTGTTCGTAGAACTCTGGACTGTAGCCTTTGGATCATTTGTGTATTTGATGGCTTTGCACAGCCCCACAGTTGAATTCCATATGTCCATATAGGTTTAATTATGCATTTGTACAGTATCAGCTTGTTCTTTAGGGATAATTTTGATTTATGGTTCATGAGCCATGACATTTCACGGAGTTTCATGTTCATTTGTTGACGTTTGGTTTTAATATTTTTTTGCCATGTTAATTTTTGGTCCAAGTGAAGTCCCAAGTATTTTACCTCGGATTGCACAGGAAGTGGTCTGTTCTGGATGGAGACTTGCGGGCGTGTTGTTTTTCTGGTGGTGAATGTTGTCTGGACTGAATTTTGCCTGATTAATTGTAATTTTCCATGTGGTGGCCCATTGTTCAAAGAGATCTAAGTGGTTTTGTAAGTATTGTGATGCTAGTTGAGGATCTCTGCTTGTTGATAGTATGGTCGTGTAGTCGGCAAAAGTTGCTATCATTGTTTTTTCTGTGGAGGGCAGGTCTGAGGTGTAAATTAGATAGAGTAATGGTTCCAGCACACTTCCCTGTGGTACGCCGACATTCACTGAGTAATTGTTTGAGTATGTTGTATTGTATTTGACTTGAAAGTGTCTTTCTGTAATGTAAGATTTTAATAATAGGAAATATGGGGTAGGAAAAAACTTTTTGATTTTATATAGTAGACCGGAGTGCCATACTTTATCAAATGCTTGGGTTAGGTCAAGAAATGCCGCTGTGCAGAAGGATTTTTCCTCGAGACTTGCTGCGATTTTATTTACTATTCGGTTTGTTTGCTGTACTGTCGAGTGATGTTTCCTGAATCCAAACTGGAAGTCAGGAATGACAGTTGGTAGATCTATGTCGATGCTTATTCTGGAGAGGAGTAGATTTTCGAATCATTTTAATGGTGTTGGCAGTAGGCTGATTGGTCGATGAGAACTGACTTCGTTAATAGTTTTGCCGGGTTTAGGCACCATTATGATCTGGGCAAATTTCCATATTATCGGAAAATATGCTAGTCTGAGCATACTATTGTAAATGGTTGTTAATAATACTAATCCTTTCTTTGGAAGTTGTTTCAGTATGGCGCTTGTAATAAGATCATATCCTGGGGCTTTACGTAGATTGAGGTTTTTAATTTGTCGTCTTACTTCTTTGGGAGAGATTGGTTTAATTGGTAGGGACATTTGGCAAGGTATTTCAAGGAAGGATTCTGGTGGAAGTGGGGTGAATACTTGTTCAAGGTGTTCAGCAAATACTTTCGCTTTTTCCCTGTCGCTTCTTGCCCAGCTTCTGTCTGGTTTCCTTATTGGCGGAATTGGCATTTGTGGTCTTTTATATTTTTTAGTCGCCTTCTAGATAGTGTGGTCGTCTACAGATGGGGATGTAATGTAATGCTCAAAAGATGAGTTTCTTATGTTTTTTGGTGTATTATGTAGTTTTCTTCTTAGTCTATTGAAGTTTAGTCTATCCTCATTGCTTCTTGTTCTATGCCATCTACTTCTTGCTCTGCGTTTTTCTGTTACTAGTTTTTTAACAAAGAGTGGAATATTGTCCACTTCTCTGAGTTGCTCCATTGTTACGGGTGTAGAGTACCAAGCAGCTTGCTGTATTAGATTTGTAAGATTTTGTACGGCTTCGTCCAATTCATCTGTATCTTTAATTCTTATTTTCTAGGTGGTTGTGGAAACTATTCCAGTCAGTGTTTTTACTAAAGAGAGTTGGGATAGACAGTTTGTTAATTATGTGTGAACTAAGGGTTGCTATAACTGGTGTGTGGTCTGACGAGAGTTCAAAGTTGGGTTCGACTTGGATATAATTTGACGTCACTCCTTTGTTAGTGAAGAAGTCTAGTAGATCTGGCAGCTTGTTGGGGTCGGTTGGCCAGTATGTCGGCACGCCAGTACTTAGGTAGTTGCAGTTCTGTTGAATTAAGGCCTTTAGAAGATTTCGTCCCTTTGGAGTTGTAAATCTCGCACCCCTTGCCGTATTTTTTGCATTCAAATCACCGCCGATTAGAAATTTGTTGCCTTGAGATTGTAGGAACTCAATGTATTCTTCTGTAGATATGGAGTGTCTCGGGGGACAGTATATTGCGGTAGTTGTAAAGGGCCATGGGCTTGCATTTATTTGAATATTTGCAGCTTGGATTTTGGGTGTTTGGTAATGAGGTAGCTCATGGTGTGGAATTGTGCTTCTAATAATGACAGCTGCTCCGCCGTGCGCTGTATCGTCGGGGTGAGGGATTTGGTAGATCTTGTATGATTGGATTTTGAGCATTGTTCTTGTAGTGAAATGGGTTTCTGATATCAATGCTACATCTATTTTGTGTAGATTAAGGAAGTTCTCCAATTCTAGTTTATGTTTTAATAGCCCGTTGGCATTCCAAAGGGCGAAGCGTATAGATTGGCATTTGGATTTAGCGGAGTTTATTGATGACAGTGCTCAACATGTTTAGTATCATGCTGTTTTGGTTAATTAGTTGACTAAACATTGCTTTGAACTCATTTAAAAACGTAGTTAGTTCTTCGGTGATGTTAACATTTGCTGGTTGTTGATTTTGCGTTACTGCTTGTGAGTATGGCATTCGTTGATTTGGAAGCATCTGAATCAGGGGTTGATTGGGGTTTAATTGAGGGAACTGTTTGTTGTCATTTATATTGATGTTTACATTTTGTTGCGTGGTGTTCCGATATTGTTGATGCTCCTTGTGGTTTCTAGCTTTTTGTAGTTTTAGATATATATTGCATCCCCTGTAGTTAGCTGGATGTGCTCCTCCGCACAGTCCACATGTTGCTGGGGTGTTGGGGTTCTTCCTGCACATAGTCGTGTTATGGTCGCCTCCACATTTTACACACATGAACGGTCTGCTGCAGTAAGTTTTCGTGTGGCCATAGTTCGGACATCTAGTGCACTGGCCAATGATGTTCTTTTTCCTTGGGGCTTCAACTGTTATTATGGTATTGCATATGAAGTCTATGTTTTATATGGTTTTATTATTTTCTTTGGGTTCTAGGTCCACAAAATGCATTAGAAGGGGCTCCTTGGTCGCACGATGTCGTATATTTTTCACATTGCGTACTGTATGGCCGTGTTTCACTATTTTCTGTTTAATAGTTTCCGCTGGGATTGAGGGATGAAGATTTCGAATGACCACTCTGTAGGCCCTTTCTTCTCCGATTTGGTAGGTGTGAAATACAATGTTGTCCTGTTGGAGCAGTTTGATTAGTTTTCGATATGAGTCTGATGTGCTTGCATTGACTCTTATTGTACCATTTGATAGTGTCTTGCAATAGTATTGCTCTTCTTCAACTGCTGTTGTAAGATATTCTACCATTTTATTGTAGTTAGTGACCCCGTAGATGAAAATTGGTGGTGGCTTATGGTTGACTGTTATATTTTCGGAGTTTGTTGGCGTTTTGTTAGTACGGTTAGATAGTGAGTCTACTTCTGAGGGCTGGGTGAACTTTTCAAATCTGTTTTGGGTTTTAATTTGGAAAGGGACTCTAACCTGTGTTACTTCCAGTGATGGTTTATTTCTGTTCCTTTTCTATAGGACCTGACAAGGCTGCTTATTTGCTGATTCCATTTCTGTTTCAGGCATTTCTTCGATGTCGTTTTCTGAATCCTCTTCAGTTGGAAGGAATATACTAGTTGACTGTTCTAGTAGGTGTTGGTTGGTTTGTTGATGTATTTGTGGAATGTTGGTTGAGAACGTTGGGCAGTTTGTTTGTTGAATCGGCATCACATATTGGCTAGATTGTGGTATTTGCTGCACTGGTATTTGATTTTCAGGTGGTTGGTGAATTGTTTGCAGTGATGATTGTTGCATTATTTGTTGAGGGATCGTGTTGTAGCACCCTCCAGGGCTGCACCCATATATGGGTTGTGGTAACGGGAATATTTTTATTTTTATGTCTGACTATCGTCACTGGTACGATTATCGTCGGCACTGAGTGATCGCTTCACTACAAAATCACTTCTTTAAAATAAAGTCACTGTTCTGACCTTTAAGCTTTAACTGATCACAACATAACACTGACCCCACGTGGGCCCACACTTGACGACCCAGTCGTCTATCTACTGACTTAACAAGCTCAATACAAACACTGTTACACGGAGCAACGGTCGATGCACGTCCGCTTCGCTCGGTGAGTAACGACGATCTTCCACTGTGCAGTTCAGCTGGAAACCAGACACTCGTGCAATTTGTTGTCCCTCCTTTGTAAGCTACATACTTTTAGAGCTGTGAGTTTATAAACGAGTATTGGAGACCTAACGCTCTTATTTGCATGTAGAGAAACATGCAATCACTGCTTCGTGCCAGAACTGTGGGCTACGTGACTGAAAGTTGTCAGTTCCAGATAGGAATACTTACTGAACCTTGTAATGGAGTTGTTCAAAGATCTCCATTTTAGATGCATTCTATGCACAGAGCATAAAATACTTGTAAGTCAACGCATTTCAGCTTCGTAACAATTAAAGGATTCCAAGTCGACACTTGAACTTGGAAGCTCGCCTACAGAATAACCTTCAGAATGACAAGCTGAGAACTGAACATGTGTTTTCCAATGTCCTGTACAAGTCCATTAATCATTCTAACTTAATTTATATTTTCAGGACATACTGCTTCAAACAGAGAGTCGTCAGGGGTGTTAGAGTGGTTGCCATCCCTGAACCTAGGGCCGTAGCCAACGAGGCGGCCCACCAGATTCAGGGACGGCAGGTGCCGGGCCATGATAATGAAGGGCGCCAGGGGCCGGCCCAAGATAATCAGGGACGCCAGGGGGCGGGCCGCGAGAATCAGGGACAACAGGCTGGACCGCGAGAATCAGGGACAACAGAGGCAGGGGCACCAGAGGCCTCAGTGACGTTAATGAAAGTAAGTAAAGTAAATGTATCCCTGTAAAAGGCCGTGGAGGCCCATAGGGTTGTGAGATGTTGAGGTTCCCACATTTTCTAGACAGTCGACTCATAGATGGCGGTAAGGTTATCAGCCTTACGCTCCGGCCGCCCTTTAACCCCAAGAACATTCCAAGAATACTCCTGGTACTCATTTCTGTTAGAGGCTGGATCAACCAACTTCGCTACCACGTACCCCCTTGGAAATATTAAGTAAATTAAAAAATTCAATGACCACAACGAGACACGAACCTGTGACTTTTCGGCCGCAGCAGAATGCCCCAACCAACCACGCCACTTCGTGACCCTCGGGTCATTTGTATGAAGGATGAAATAAAGGCCGGAGAGAGTCGCGTTTGCATGAATTTCATTCAGCGCTTCTGCTACAGGTGGGGAGGTTCAACTGGCCGGAGGGTGACTTCACATAGTTAGATCCTGACTGTTTGGATATCACACTCGTGAGAAATCAGAACAGAAAGCTCTGATCCACATACTAATAACTTTAATTAACCGCAGTAGTCTGTTACATGCAATTGAACTGAGTTACGGTTACTTAGATTATCCGGCACCACTGACATGCGAGAAATCGGGTTACCGTTAATGGGGGAACACAGTGTATAATGAGAATCAAAATTTCTTAATTTTTACTTTCTACAAGTTTAATTTCATTTAGCACTCTGAACACTGGAATGCGACTGTGTGAAAAATATGATATGTCTACAACCCGAAGGCAAGTTTATGGCTTGTCTGCGTGTAATTTTGTTGTTGGCTCATAACTCTCGACATTCAGGCGCAAGGTACCAAATATGGCTTCTAACAATAGACGAAACAGGACAGCCAACAATGGTCTGTTCAAAACCAAAATGTCACTACAGCTCAAATAGGATTCGAAGAGTTCATAAAGCCGCTACAAGGTGATTGCGGTCACATGTCCTAATCAAACTGTTCGCTGGTGTTCTTTTTAAAGAAGAATAACCTACCGGGATTCGAACCTTAGTTTTCTCTTACATGTGGTAAAGTGAGACAGAGTCTTCTTGGCATTTTGGTCATTACTCGACCTATTGTAACAGACTGGATGATAAATGAGTACGAAAAATTATGGTGGAATGAGAATTGGCAGGGGAAACCGAAGTAATGTGAGACAACCTGAGCCAGTGTCACTTTTTCCTCCAAAAATCCCACAGTATCTCACCTGAGAGTGGCGAGGAAAGTTGGAGTTCTGATGCTGAAATTGAGAAACAGCTGTTCAATGACACAGATTCGGACTGCTATTCAACCGATTCTGAGAGTGGCGAGGTCGTTCGGCCATATGACGTCCGTAGATTACATTAGATCACGCAGGAGGGAAGGCTGTCACCTTATAAAGGTTGTGACCAAAGATCATGTAAATAGAACAGCAATTTTTATTTTAAATTTAATTTAAAAAAATCTTAACACGCGTGGAATGCGCGATATCATATGATGTCGATCGGCCCTTTGGCCTTACTTTTAACGTCATATGACATCGCTAGATTACATTAGATCATGCAGGAAGGAAGGCTGTCTCCTTATAAAGGTGGTGACCAAAAATCATGTAAATAGAACAACAATTTATATTTTTAATATAACATTTAAAAAAACCTTACACACGTGGAATCCGCGACATCATATAATGACGTTCGGCCAGCTGCCCTAACTTTTAACATCATATGATGACGTTCGTCCAATAAAGGTTAAAGAAAACGAATTTCAGTGGTGCTGGTGGTCTTGGGGTAAGATATCAGCTTAGTGTTCAGAAGGTCCTGGTTCAAAACCAGTAGGATTTTTGTGAAATAAAATGGAAAGAAGTTAGGAGATACGGTAATGGAGGAGGGAGAGATAGAGTGAGGGACCGGGGTGAGGGAAGATTTTTCCTTTTTTTTTTGCTGCCGCTCATTAAGACACTCAACCTAAGCGGGTTTTATTAAAATCCACATGGGATCAAAAAGAAAAAAAATTGGCCTACCGTCCACCCACCAACCACCCGCCCTTAGGGGATGACTTTCACTTAATCATTTGAGACCAAGTTCTATGAACGGGAATTAGCAACAAATTTTATAATAACTGCAGCGCATTCTGTTGACTAAAATGTCATGGAAAGCCACGAAGTGAAGTATACAATGTAACATCTTAGTTTCGTATGTCCTGAGTTACTGGGCTGTGCCAAGCCGCTCCTCCAAAAATTCATTTTATAGGCCTAGGGCGCCATTCGCTGAGGATGAGATCACGGAAGCGTGGCACCCCACCCATGCCCACCCTTACGGTCATGTAGGATTGTAATCGCTTGATACCAGGCTACATTACCTAGAGTTAACAAAAATTAATAAACCCTGCAGTGCCATCTGCGGATTGAAACCTGAACCTGTGGAGTAATGT